GAGATGTATTTTTGCATATATGAAGTATAATTTCCTGAAAATTGACAAAATTAGTAATGTGATGCTTGAAAAAAGCACCACATGGATTTTTATCAAGCCTTTCACAAAGGCACAAATTTAAGTGGAGAAAAAGTATCTATCATCACTATATCACAAAAGATATATTTCTACTAATACATTTGTAGAAATTCATTTTTTACATTATAGCTAGAATATTTTTTTGCTTCTCCTCTGAAAGTCATTTTAGAGAGTAATTGTCTGATGCAAGCATTTTAAATTCAATGGTTTATTAGTGTATTTGTAGGTCTAGTCAGCTCAATATACTTCCAAAGGTGAAAACTATTTCCTGTATCTTTTTTTTTTACTGAAGAAAATGACTCCACCGAGTCACTTAGGTCCCATATTTTCTTTAATGTAAAAAAAAAAAAAAAAAAAAAAAAAAAAAAAAACTAGAAAATTTTAGAAAACCAGTATGGAAATCAATGTCCTAAAAATATTTTTCCCACTAACATTCTGCAAAGAGATTTTTGAGAGCCGTCATTTGGTTACACAAATATGAAACATAAGTGGCACAAAATTGAAATGCTACTTCACAGAAACTAAGAATACTACTGCACCAGTCAACTTTGTCTAAGGATAATTATGAAAGCTATAAAATTAGTGGCTATCTTATTCTGTCACTCCTCTTACGAATATAAAGGTGTTACTCCGCAACAATATAAAAAATACCAAAAGCATTTTTTGTATATTTTATATATTTTGTCTGTCTTACAAAATTACTGATAATGGGACAGTATCAGACAAAAATTACTAAAGTCATTTCCAGTATCACAACTCACATCTATATGCTATTTTCCATTACTTAATTTTAATAATTGATTCTTAAATGTCTCATATATATAAAAAAAGAAGGCAAAAAGATTCATACCTTTCAATGCAGTTGTCTTTTCTTTTTCATCTGGGCCTCCTTGCTGGAGTTGAGCCATCCTTACCCAAACTGTTAACAAAATTAAAGCACTTAAGTAAATATACATCAGTCTTCAAAGGATGATCTGAAAATGATCAGGAATTAGAAATTAGGCAAATTTATTGACTTCTACTTCAAAAGTTCTTTGTTACTGCATAGATCACAAAAAAGTACTGATTTCAAATCAAAACTTCAAAGAAAGAGTATTAGAACCCCTATGATATCATAACCCCTATGAAATTAAAATTGACTTTTTCTTCTCCATTAAAACTTACATTGAACATTCTAAGGTCTCATCACATCATTGGGAATTGAGAATTTTTGCAGCAAAGTATAACACACACTCCTCTGTTGGGTTTGGTCAAAGATTCCAGTTCACAAGAATGAAGTCTAGCTTCTACCTAACCCTAGCAGAAATCCTATCTAATTTATGCTCCTTTTCGCCACTCTCAGGTAACACTCGAATAAATATTAGCCTTTTTGAGCAGCTGCTCTAAGTCCAATGAAGAAGACATTCCCAAAACATCCTCAACAGAACTGACATAATTTTTGCTATTTTTTTTTTCGTTTTCCTTTTTCTTCACTTAATTCCATTTATTATTCTTTCTGGATTATACAGTTTCTGGATCATGCATGGAACAAATTGGTTCAAAGCATTATCTGCCTTGAAAGTTTTAAAAAGCAGGTTGATGTCCAGCTATATAGAGCCCTCAATATACCCAGCGTGGGAATTCCCATGCAAAATACATTTCTTATTTTTTCCTATTGCATAGAATGGAGCCCAGACATTCCACTTTCGGATCCCTTTCACCTCAAATCTGACACCAAGGGAGCAAAGCACCCTATGAAAATCACCACTTCTTCCTTCTCAATGAAAAGGTTTCTATGCCTTGAAACCTTCTGGCCTTCACCCTTTCGGGACATTTATCCGTCAGTCACTATCAACTTGTTTTATTCTTCTACCAATATATTTTAACCTCGATGACTCTGCATGAACCATATTGCAGTAGCTCCCTGAGACTTACAACAAAGAACCACTGAATATTTTCCTTTAAGTAACATTGTAACAGAAGAGAAACTTAAAAAAAAAAAGCAAGATAATGATATATATGGTGGGTGATTATTCTGTATTTTACTTGGAGAAAACCAAAGAAATCTTATTCTCAATAAAAAGTGACAGTAATTTAAGGGGCTCAGGGTAACTAAAGAGAGAAGAAAAAAAAAAAACCTTAAAACTTGAGTTTTGAGACAGTCCAAAAAAAAAAAAAAAAAATCCATCATACGCCCAGGGGAAACTCTGACACCTTCCTTTGCTCTTGTGCACAAAGCTGTTCAGATGAAGCTGACAGGAAATGACAGTGCTCTGTCAAATGTATGATCGCAGTGGGTCATCTCCTCGTTCCTCTGGAGCTGCTACTTACGCTGCGCACCTTTCAAATTACGGTGCGATTCAACACGACCCACTTAAAACGCACACGTTTTAGCCAATACTTTAGCCTTATTAGCGCTCATAACAAGAGTAATCAACAAAAATAATCAAAACAGAGACACTGGAGTATTTTCTGGCATGTAACCTACTTGGTATAAATATTAAAATGACTGAAATGTCAATTCACATGCATGGCATTTCCGAAAGATTTTTCTGAGATGCTTCCAAACAGTTCATAGATAAAAGCTCACCAAACACGAAATCCTGGCCTTCCTCAGGATGCACATTTACAGCACAGCACAACTATTTCAGTAGAGCATTATAAAACAACACAAAAAACCCACTTAAGGAAGGACAGAACTCCGGGTGTTCTGCCCAGGTTCATTAATCGGAGGAAGCCACTATGGAGATAGCTTAGTGGTTCCCCCGCTCTGCTATAGGAACTGTAAAAAAAAACAAAAACAAAAACAAAAACAAAAAACAACAACAACAAAAAAAAAACACTAGCACCACCCGACATTGAAATTCAGCAGTAAAAGAGAAAATTTCCAGTCTTTTCTGAAAAAAAAGTAAAAAACTGTAGCAGCAGCCACTGGAGGGAGGACTTGGTATCAGAACAAGCATGAAATAAGCACACAGTTTTTATGTACTGTTTGCCTGAACACAGCACTTTGATGAATCCTCCACTGATACTTGTTTAAGTGGTGAGTACAAGAAATTAGATGAGAGGGTTGGATTGCCTTTCTTTCACAAACAGACATTCAATCAACTACAGTAGGATGGTGCAGAAATGAAGAGGGGGAAAATTATAAAGCTCTCCAAATGGTTACTTAAAGGCAAAAGCAGGAACTACAGTTTATTCTGAGCTCCAGTTTCAAGCCCTGCTGATCTCTAACTCTATACACTGGCTGCTCTCTGTATTTCACAAACATCCATCTTGAAATTTTTCACAATAGATATTCAGATAATTATAAATGTGTTCCTCTGTACAATTACTGAGATGATTCTTTGCACAACAATTTTTCTGTGATTCTTCCCATTACCTCTGGCAAGTATACATTCTGAAAAAATATCAGTTACTATTTCACCTGCAGAAATATTGCAAGTTTATATACGAGAAAGTTATATTTATTTGTATGTACCTTGCAAGATATGCTATCAAAAAACATCTTGTGTTCAGTGCCTCTTCATCCTCACTGCCCAGCAATACTGAGAATGATTCATTACCAGAAATATTTTGATTTCATGATTTCAATGCTTTACTAATGGTTTAGTTGATCAAAAATACGAGACAAGGAGAACTGGATTTTCATCATATTGCTGTTAATACAACTGCAGAACAGGTGGTTCACAAAGATATGGTCATTTAAAACAATAAAATAAATAAATAAATCAGACTTTTACATACTTAGGGGAATATGCATACATATTTCATGTTCTTGCTTGCAGAGTGGTACTGGAAGTTTGGCCACAGCTAATCGTGCTGTATAATTGTGCTAGCCTGCAAGTCAAACTTGACACCCTATCGTATATCTCAACTCTGACACAAATGTGCTTACACACTGATTTATAAAGAAACTTCAATTACTATTCACTGCATAAATGAAACTACAGAAATATCAGAAATTTTAGCAGGTGATTTTGCCCTACATTAAGAACTGCTGAAATTATGTCAGTGTTGCATTGTGCAAATACTCCAAATAGAGGTCATAAATAATTTCAATTACTGCAATCACTCTCTGGATTGGCTCAACCAAACTACAACAGTAATATCTTTAGTATCTCTTTCTGACTAATTAGATTTTATCTAATCACACTTATAAGGTACTACAGATGACATCAGTAAAAACTACTTCTGTTAAAGTTCTCCTTCCCCTCACTTGTATGGCCCTATAGCTTTGTCAAACTTCAGCTGCCAAGGCCATTTAGATCGCACCGGCCTTAGCCTGAAAGTTTTGTAACACTTCAGCTATGTCTATTTCCTTTTTAAGGAGGAAGTTCACAGACAACGTATCTTCTGCTCAGACCTGCTGATACTAATGAGCTCCGAGCTATGGGCATTAGCAACCCCAACTTCGTGAGCAATTGTCGCTTACACAGGGCAGAGCTAATACAATCCCACATGTTGAAATTTTAATTATTTCTGTTTAACTTATTTGAAATGCTGGAAATAACCTGCACGAAGACATGCCTGCAAACATAATCAAACATATATGTTAAAAGAATATAAAAATAGGCAGCACAACTTCAACACAGCCTCTGAGAGGTTTACACTGATGCTTTAGTCAAATGAACACAGGAGGTTCAAAACCCACTAAGAATTTTTCTGTAGTAGCAGAATGCAAAACAAAGCATTCTCTTAAATATCTATAATCTATTAAGCGTGCGATGAACCCTACTTCTGCTAAGGCAGTGAAACTGGAAGAATATTACATCGGAGAACCTTATTCACTGTAGGCATTCGAGTGTTCTTATGGTACTAAACAAGTCCTACAGGATATTTTGTTTAACTTATTTCTGTATACTCCCCATTTTCTAGGCATTCAACTCGAACGATTTCAGTCTTTCAAACTACAGACCACTGGATCCCTTTTTTAAGAAAATCTTTGAAAAACAACTCACAAGTCTTTCAAGTTCAGTATTCCAAGTCCTTGGGACATGAATTTCACCCTGTCTCAGTCTTTTCCAAAAGGCCAGAAAGCACCTCCATGCATAGTGTTGGGGAAAAAAATGAATTAATGTTTATAGAAAACCTACATCTTTCAATTAAAGCCTTGTAATAAAAGCTCTTGTAATATTCACTACTGCTATATTCATTGCACAATCCAGATCTTGCAGTGAACACTTGTGTAAAAGGGTCTGTGATTACACAACCATATTTCATTACAGTGCACCTCACAAGAATAAATTATTTTAGCACAACATTACTTGATAATATAGCTGAAGTTGCCCTCTGATGGTCTATAACATTGTTTTGGTGAGTTTTTAGAACAATTGAATTAGATGGATTTAACTCAACAAGATTCTAGCCTAAAAGAGAAGGTGGAAAACATTCACCCTCATCATTGTACACACTGAAGAGTTACAAGACAATATCAGGCTTTTTAATCTCTCTTTTTTTCTTACAATTTCATCTTCTTTCAAGCCAATCCCCTGGGTTAACTGGAAGAGGAAAAGGCCTCCAAACACAGGAAACCTCTGAGACTATTTAAAGAAGAAATTAGATTGCAGCTAAAACAAATAAAGACTAGAAAATTCTAGGAAAATGCTTAGGCTGTCATTAAAAGCTGCTAAAAAAAACGCTGTATGTACAGGTGCCTAGTACTTTAAAATCACTTTTTTTATGGCTGGCTTGCCATAAAGACACACCACAGTACTATATTTATATATATATTTTTATGAGCAAGGCAAAAAACACAAGCATGTTGTCCATAAGCATCTTGTAGTTTATTATTTAAGACCACCTTGATGATAAGACAATAGCACACTTTTTTTTTGATATTAGTAAATTACTTTTCAGAATAAGCCAAAGAAAGCCTCATTCTTTTGTTTTCAAACAATATCATAACTACATTTCCATGTAACTACATAACAACAAACAGTACCATAATGACATTTTTCCCTCACCCAGTAAATCTTAAAAATTGAAACTC